GTCCTCTTAATAAATCCTGCTTTCTCAAAAAAAAAAAAAAAAAAAGAAGTATTCTCTTTGTAAAACCTAGTAGGTGATGCCCTTCACTCTTAAATATTCATGGCCAATAGGCCATGTATTAATATAAGTGCCTCCAAAGTGGAAAGTGTTCAGGAAGATCAACAGGGTACAAGAAAAAATAATTTTTAAAAAAAATCTCAACATAGAGACTCTGTCTCTACAAAAAATTAGCTGGCATGGTAGCAACATGCCTATAGTACCAGCTATTGGGGAGGCTGAGGTGGAAGGATTGCCTGAGCCCAGGAGGTGAAAGCTGGGGTGAGCCATGATCGTGTCACTGCACTCCACCCTAGGCAGTGGTGAGAGCTTGACTAAAAAAAATTCTTACTAATAAGTTGTGGTGCACTGTTCAGAAAGTTTGCAGACCGCTCAGGCCCACGTGCTCACCTTTAGCAGTTGACTTGCATGCTAACAAGAGTTATCTTTTCCCAATCTGTTTCTGTCAGTAATACTTGTGATATTTACTGTAATTTAATTAAATTGTATATAAGCCAGTGCAGTGTTATTTTTTTAAAAAATAGTCTCTGTGGAAACTTACATTGGAAAGGCTTGTTTACAGTGCAGATTGGACAGAGTATTTTTTTTTAATTTTCAGGTAAGACACCTGTGCACAGTTGAGAAAAACAATCATGAAAATGTAGGATTCTGCTTGGTTTGTTTGCAAAAATCTAGATTCTTGATCTTCTTTAAAGAATCTGAAACTGGAAATCAAAGATATCATATTGTGACTGTGATTCATCAGTAATGGCAATGGGGAACTTCAGTCCGGGGGATGAGACTCATATGAGTCCTTGGCCCTTCGTGGAAGGACTGGCAAGTGTTATGTATGGTTGATTCTTGTTGTTCGTAGAAGCTGGGTTCTGCAGAGTTGCTGCAAACAGAATTAGTGAATACTGAACTATCGCACCTAGGGAAAACACAGGTTTAGGCTCCTGGGTGCCTCTTGTCATGTGTCCATCAACTGATCAATGTGTGACCGTGTTGTGTGTGCGTTTCTGTTTAAGGTCACCATATTATTTAATATGAAGTATTGATTCGCTAACATTGCACTCGTGGCCAATGGCACTGTAACTCATGTCTAAATGAAGCTTATCTGACACACGTATGTTCTCTAATGCACATCATAGTCCCTTGTGCTTGGAGATGTAGACATCACCTCAGAACTATGTCTGGGGCCATATCAACATCAAAAATCACCAAGAAAAAGCACAAAGATATGAGGAACACAGAATAATCAGCCAAAGGACAGTATGTACAGTATAAGAACTGAAGAGAACCAAGTGTAGTCTCCTCTGACCTCAGCAGGGAACGGGTGTGTCAGGCAACTCAGAATTTTCACCACTCTGTACATGTCTGCAGATGACCACCAAAGCACCACAAGTATTGATTTGGGGTTTACACATAAATTTTAGTAAGTAGGCAAATTTGCAAATACTGAATCTACAAATAATAAGGCTTATTATTTTATGTCACTTATTTACATTTATATCATGTACATAATGTGTTTTAGACAGATGTATATGTTTTAGGTTTAATAAAATATTCAAGGTATATATGAATTGCTTTATAAGCCCTGCCTTTGCCTGACTTTAATTAGCAATCTCCCCTCTGCTGTTTTCAGAGGAAAGTTGTGCTGGGAAAAAATGCTCAGCTTTCACTCATTCATTCTTATGCTATCTCATTGGATTGTTTAGAGGAAATTAGTCTAGGTATGTGTCATGACATCCCAGCATCCAGGATAGTGCCCGGTATTATTATAACTTAATTTAAACCACTCTGCAAACATTCTACATGAAATATATGTAGTAAATGCTGATTGTTACAAGGAAGGGTGAGTTATTATAGACTCCAGGGGAAAACGCCTGTAGGATTTGTGGAGTAACGAGTCTCACTGCCTTTACACACTTGCTTGGGTCTTTCTTCCCTCCTCCTCCTTATCTCACCCTTTAGGAAGGGCACAGTCTGACTTCGGCCCCCAAGCTCCCCTCACTGTCTCCAGTTTATCAAGTGCCAAACCAGCTGGTGCCATAGGCTTGAGCACCCAGCTCGCCCTGAGTGTGAACCTCACGTTTACGGAGCCTTCCTGAGCCCTGGTGTCAGCACCTCCCTCCTGAACCCCGGCCCCTGCTCCTTTCCCCCAGAATCTCTCATTATTCAGTTAGTATGCCAAAAGAACCTTGCCTTGCTGATGAGTGGAGCCCTTCACGTTACCCATGCCACAGGAGCACTCAGAGAAGGGACTTCTCTTCTGGAGTTTGTGTAAGTTGCGCCCCTGACATACACTGGCCACAAATAGTGATCTGGATTTGTTGAAACTTGGGGAAAGAGACAAAAAGTCAGCCCACTCTCATTAGCTATTTGTAATAGAAACTCTCTCTCTCTCTTTCTTTAGATGTATGAAGGAACATTTCAGACATACACAGAGGTGGAAAGAACAGTACTGTGAGCCCCCCAGTACCCTCACCCAGTTTCGGAGATTGTTGTCTCTTCCTAAACCAGATAATTTTAAAATAGATTCCAGATGCCCCACATTTCATTTATAGATATTTCATTACATATCTTTAAAAGAAAATAATCTTCTTTTAAAAATAGTCAAAGAACTATTATCATAACTAAAAAATTTAGTCAAATATCTGGAGTTAAATTTCCCCATTTCAGACATCTTTTTCATTCTTTCTGTGCAGTACAGAGCTTTCAGCTGACCGGTGACAAAGTATGATGGGACCACATGGAGTGTGCAGTTGAATTTGACACCTGGATGGCCTGAAGTCAGGGTGGTAGAAGAGCTCCATTAGGGCAGTGGGACAGGGCAGAGGCTCTTGTCAGCCTCTGAGGGTCACTGCCCCCTCTGCAAGTGAAGCTTGAAGCTTGAACATGTTCCAGCCAGAAAGAGAACCTCACCTATTGGGGTTGTATCTCTTCCACTTCCCTGCTGAATTTGTCCCATGACCTGTGACTGAGACCTCTGGGTCCACTGACGTCTGGGTCCTCACTGTGAGAACTTCCAGTCCCTAAATGTGTTCTGGGTTATCTGGATCCATCCCTTCCCTGGGCCTTGGCCCCACTGGTGAGCGCAGCAGGATTCCCTCAAAAGGAGTGTGTTTTGAGTGGCTCATGGGAACCCGAGGTTCTAAATGCAGTTGAATGATGACAGGAATCTTGCTAGGGAGAGGCCCCTGTGCTAACAAGGGGCCAGGAGCAGTGCGTGTGTGGCAGGACCGTGTTCTGCCACACTGCCACGGTGCGATAAGACTGCACATACTTGGCACTTCTTTCTTTCAACGCTTTGTGAAAGTGAGCTCAGCAGCTTTGTGGGTGACTGTGTTATCTCTTTATTTCCAGAGGAGAATTTCAAAGCAAAAAAAAAAAAAAAATGTTTCCATTGAGGTGTATGCGTTTTGAATGTGAGCAAGTTGTTTTACCTCTCTGAAACAGTGACAGAGAGCCTCCCGTTGAGATCTTGTGGGGGCTGTATGCATTTGCACTTGTAAGTATGTGGAATGATGTTTGGCATACAGCGCTGTCCAGCAGAACTTTCTGTAGTCGTGGAGACATACTGTATTTGCACTGCCCAGTGCAACTGAGCCCTTGAGATGAGAATAATGCGACTGAGGAGATTTCAGTTAAATTTAAATTTCAGTAGTCACGTGTGGCTTTAGTAGCTACTGTATTCAGTATAGGTCTAGGGGGATGTTGATAATATAATTATTATTACATCGTGGTTTTTTATTTTGTTTTGTTTTGTTTTGAGTCAGGGACTCACTCTGTTGCCCAGGTTGGAGTACAATGGTACAGTTATTTCTCACCGCAGCCTCAATCCCCTGGACTCATGTGATCCTCCCATCCTATCCTCCTGAGTAGCTGGGTCTACAGGCACTTGCCATCATATCTGGCTAATTTTTTTATTTTTGTAGAGACAAGGTCTCACTATGTTGCTCAGGCTGGTCTCTAATTCCTAGGCTCAAATAATCCTCCTGCCTCAGCCTTCTAAAGTGCTGGGATTACAGGCATGAGCTACTACGCCCAGCCTTGTATGGTTTCTAATATGGTTCTAGTGAAGAACTAGAAGACAACACTGGTATGAAAACCAGAGACAGCATTCTATACAGTGGAGTTTGCTGTGCATCTCTGTGGCCCAGAATTTAGGATGTGGAAGATTATCTCTCAATTGGAAGGGTCACAATTGTTAAGTGGACTGTACTTGTGAGTGTCTTTCCAGGAAAGGGAGTCAGCCTTGTGTTGGGCATGGGTGGGAGCAGGACTTGGGCTCACATTTTGTGTTTGCTTCTTACTGGCTGTGTGGCCTTGCCTGCCTGGGTTGTCATATGCACTGTCCTGGCAGGATACCGTGCACTCATTATGGGCTCTGTATGTTATGAGTTGTGGTTATTTTCCAGATAATGATGGTAATAGTATCACAATTTAATACACAATCACTGTCACTTTTAATTCAGTTGGAGAATTTAGTAGTCATCTTATCCTTGTCAGATGCCAGGGATGTTGATGGGATTGCTCTGGATGCTGTAAAATATATGCTCTTTTGACTTAAACATTTGCAATAATGCAAATCCATTGAGTTGAGAGAGGGAGAAAAACCTCTTGACGTGATCCCCCTGCACAGCGTGGTTCAGCTGAGAGGGAGCAGATCTGCAGAGGTGGCTTCAGGTTTCCAGCCATCTTCTTATTGTGTACAGACTGTGGATGTTTGGGTCACTTATACATCTTGTGCTACCTGCAAAGAACTGGTATCCAGAAGTTGGTAAAATACAATTCTTTACAAAGGAAGAGATTTTGGTACTAACCATGCAGATTGGCTTCTTGATGTCACATTATTTTTGTTTTGTTCGCTTGAAATGAAGCAATAAAAAATATAAGGCTAATGGACGAGTGGAAACTCTGACCTAGCTGTCTTCTCACATCTTGTCCCTCTCTTCTTCTAGATGTGACATTTGCTGCGTCACCTTTCGAACACATCGCGGACTGCTGCGCCACAATGCACTTGTCCACAAACAACTTCCCAGGGACGCAATGGGAAGGCCTTTCATACAGAACAACCCTTCGATTCCTGCTGGCTTCCATGACTTAGGATTCACTGACTTCTCCTGTAGGAAGTTTCCTCGCATTTCTCAGGTATTCTCATCGGCCCATGGAAGCAGCCGGCAGCCACCTCCACAGGTCACATAGACTAAACTTCCTCACCCTGAGGGGTCCTTCCTTAAAATTGTACCAGTTGGGTTTTATCTTTTTTATAATTCAACTTGATCCTTTCAATCTTCCTAGGATTGTTGGGCTGCAAAGGGTGCGTAGTCTCTTATTTGGGGTTAAATTTCCTATTAACATGCATGTCTGTGCCTTTTGCCTTCTTGGGGCCTTGGCATTTAAAAGCTATGAATTGTAAAACATCCCAGCCCTATCAAGATTTGAATTTGTATTTTTAAAAATATTTTTTTAGACTGGGCATGGTGTCTCACATCTGTAATCCCTGCGCTTTGGGAGGTGGAGGCAAGAGAATTGCCTTAGCCCAGGTGTTCAAGACCAACCTTGGTAACTTGGCAAGACCTTGACGCTATAGTAAATCAACAAATTAGCCGGGTGTGGTGTGCGTGCCTGTAGTTCCATCTACTTGGAAGGCTGAGGCAGAAGGATCGCCTGAGCCCAGCAGGTCCAGGCTGCAGTGACCGTGAGTGTACCACTGCACTCTAGCATGAGTGACAGATTGAGACTCCAACTAAAAAAAAAAATCTCTTTAGTATCTGCACTTCAGCTAAATACCTCCAGAATTATAGTTTCTATTAAAATGATTTGGGTCATTATTGACTTGAATGAAAGAAGAGCCATATTTGTTCTCTGCTTAAAAGCACCTACTAAAACTGCCTTGAAATTATTTTTTTTCCCTTTTTAAAAATTGAGTTAGAAGGTATCAACAGTGAAGTTCTTCCGTTGTACAAACCTCAAGCTCAGTGGATTGTTCCATATATGTTAACCCATGTGTGAACACCTGTGTAACCCCTCCAGATGACGTTCCTCCCTCCTCCACCTCTCTCCTCCACCTCTACAGTGTTCCCTCTCTCACAATCATAGAGGTAGCTGGTTCTCCAACCTCTGTCACCAACATTTTTGTGAGATATCCTTTTTCCTTTTTATTTTTTTTTAAGTTGGAGTCTCACTCTGTCGCCCAGGCTGAAATGCATTGGCATGCTCATAGCCACCACAGCCTCAATTTGCTGGGCTCAGGTGATCCTTCTGCCTCAGCCATCCAAGTACCTGGAGCTACAACGCCCAGTTAATTTTTTGATTTATTGTAGAGACGAGATCTCCCAAGTTGTCTAGGCTGGTCTCGAATCCCTGGGCTCAGGCAGTCCTCTTGCCTCGGCCTCCCGAAGTGCTGGTATTATAGGCTTAGGCCACCACATCCAGCCAGTGACACTCATTTTTATAAAGATAATTAATTCTGCCTTTTTATTATTGTTACTTAACTGTACTTCAGCATGTCTCTGGTAAGAAACCCTGGAGGTTGATACCATTCATCAAGCGTACGTGATTCTTAAGATCCTCTGTGGCTTTCCTTACTCGGTCCAGGGTTAGCAAGTAGGAGAAGGGCAGCATCTTTTCTGTTATGGAGGAAGGCTGTACACTGGGGCAATGGTATAACAAATACTTACTGCATTTCCATTTAGTATTTCTTTTTCCATCCTTACCTTTGTTCCCTTGCTTTTGCCGGGGGATTCCGTGCAGGCCTGGTGCGAAACAAACCTGCGGAGGTGTATCAGTGAGCAGCACCGTTTCGTCTGTGACACCTGCGACAAAGCATTCCCCATGCTCTCCTCACTTGCCCTGCACAAGCAGACCCACCTTGCCGCAGACCAGGGTCGGGAAAAGCTGCAGGCCAAGGCCCTGCCTGATGACGCCCCAGACCAGAAGGCCTTTCTGGCCTCACTGGACCTGCAGCACACCAAAGACATCAGGCCCGCCCCTGCCGAGGAGCCCCTGCCGGATGACAACCAAGCAATACAGCTCCAGACACTCAAGTGTCAGCTACCTCAGGACCCCGGCTGCACCAGCGTGCTAAGTCTGTCTCCCTTCGAAGCTGCTTCCCTGGGCAGCTCTCTCACAGTTCTCCCCGCGACCAAGGAGAACATAAAGCATCTGTCCCTGCAGCCCTTCCAGAAGGGCTTCATCATCCAGCCAGACAGTAGCATTGTGGTCAAGCCCATATCTGGAGAGTCGGCCATCGAGCTGGCAGACATCCAGCAGATTCTGAAGATGGCAGCCTCAGCCCCCCCTCAGATCAGTCTTCCGCCTCTCTCCAAGGCCCCTGCTGCCCCTCTGCAGGCAATTTTCAAGCACATGCCCCCTCTGAAGCCAAAGCCCCTGGTCACACCAAGGACAGTGGTGGCCACCTCCACGCCCCCACCTCTCGTCAATGCCCAGCAGGCCTCCCCTGGCTCCATCAGTCCCAGTCTCCCACCCCCCACCCCTGAAGCTCCTCAAAGGCTCGGTAGAGGCTGCGTCCAGTGCCCACCTGCTGCAGGCCAAGTCCGGGGCCCAGCCAAATGCAGCCACACCGCTCTTCCTGCAGCAGTCACGGGTGGAGCTGCCAGGCCAGCCTGAGATGCAGACGCAGCTGGAGCAGGACAGCATCATCGAGGCCCTGCTGCCACTGAGCATGGAGGCCAAGATCAAGCAAGAGATCACGGAGGGGGAGCTCAAAGCCATCATGACTGCGCCTGGCGGCAAGAAGACGCCCGCCATGCGCAAGGTGCTCTACCCATGCCGCTTCTGCAACCAGGTGTTCGCGTTCTCTGGGGTGCTGCGTGCGCACGTGCGCTCGCACCTCGGCATCTCCCCGTATCAGTGCAACATCTGTGACTACATCGCCGCCGACAAAGCCGCGCTCATCCGCCACCTGCGCACGCACAGCGGGGAGCGGCCCTACATCTGCAAGATCTGCCACTATCCCTTCACCGTCAAGGCCAACTGCGAGCGGCACCTGCGTAAGAAGCACCTCAAGGCCACGCGCAAGGACATCGAGAAGAACATTGAGTACGTGAGCAGCAGCGCGGCCGAGCTGGTGGACGCCTTCTGCGCCCCAGACACGGTGTGCCGGCTGTGCGGCGAGGACCTGAAGCACTACCGCGCCCTGCGCATCCACATGCGCACGCACTGCGGCCGTGGCCTGGGCGGCGGCCACAAGGGCCGCAAGCCCTTCGAGTGCAAAGAGTGCAGCGCCGCCTTCGCTGCCAAGCGCAACTGCATCCACCACATCCTCAAGCAGCACCTGCACGTGCCCGAGCACGACATCGAGAGCTACGTGCTGGCGGCCGACGCGGGCCTGAGCCCCGTGGAGGCACCGGCTGCTGAGGCCTCGAGGAGGGGGGAGGAGGGCAGCTGTGCTGCATTTGGCGACCACAAGCCACTGGCCGCCTTCCTGGAGCCCCAAAACGGCTTTCTTCACGGGGGCCCCACCCAGCCTCCTCCCCATGTCTCAGTCAAGTTGGAGCCCGCCAGCAGCTTTGCAGTGGACTTCAGCGAGCCCTTGGACTTTTCTCAGAAAGGCCTGGCCCTAGTCCAAGTGAAGCAGGAAAACGTCTCCTCCTTCTTGAGCCCTTCTTCCCTGGCCCCCTATGACTGCTCCCTGGAGCCTATTGACCTGTCTATACCCAAGAACTTCAGGAAAGGAGACAAGGATGCAGCTGCTCCCAGCGAAGCCAAGAAGCCTGAGCAGGAAGCGGGGCACAGCGAGCAGCCCTCTCCCTGTCCCGCCCCCTGCCCTTCCCTGCCGGTGACTCTGGAGCCGGGTGGGATCCTGGAAAGCCCCACGGCCCCCGCGGCAGCTGCCACCACAGCCGCTCCAACGGAGCCCCACGCTCAGCCCCTGCAGGGCTCTGTTCAGCTGGCCGTCCCCATCTACTCCTCAGCGCTGGTCAGCAGCCCTCCCCTCTTGGGCAGCTCGGCCCTCCTCAGCAGCCCAGCTTTGTTGCGGCCACTGCGGCCCAAGCCCCCCCTGCTCTTGCCAAAGCCCCCTGTGACAGAAGAGCTGCCCCCACTGGCCTCTATTGCCCAGATCATCTCATCCGTGTCCTCGGCCCCCACCCTGCTGAACACCAAGATGGCAGACCTAGGGCCCACAGGCACTGGGAGTGACACCACGGTTTCAGACACCATAGGAGGCTCCCTCCCCAAAGCTTCCACCGACACCACAAGCCTGAGAGAGACCAGTGATCCTCCTCCTCCAGCCAGCAGCCCAGAGGCAGCCTCACCCACCGAGCTGGGACCAGCTGGCTCATCAAAAAAGAGGGGCCGGAAAAGGGGAGTGAGAAACCAGCCCCGTGCCAGCAGCAGTGGGGTGGACCTGGACTCCAGTGGGGAGTTTGCCAGCATCGAGAAGATGCTAGCTACCACAGACACCAACAAGTTCAGTCCATTTCTGCAGACTGCAGAGGACGGCGCTCAGGAGGAGGTGGCTGGAGCCCCCGCCGACCACCACGGGCCCAGTGACGAAGAGCAGGGCAGTCCCCCAGAAGACAAGCTGCAGCGGGCGAGGCGGAACTCCTACGCCAGCTGCCTACAGAAGATCAACTGTCCCCGCTGTCCTCGGGTCTTCCCTTGGGCCAGCTCTCTGCAGAGGCACATGCTCACACACACTGGTAAGAGGGCCCGCGGGGCTCCCAGGTGGCGAGTCCTGTTTCCTGGCGGGGGACTGTGCGCTGGCCAGTGGGCAGAGCAAGCGGTGGGGCTGAGAGCCAGGGACTCTTCCCCCACACCTCTGTTCTTTCCTGGCTTCTCTTCCTCCTCCGTCTCATAAGCCCTGGGCTTGCCTGGGGTTGTGGGTTTTTCTTATGGGCTCTTAGGTTCCAGTGGCCTGTGTTCAGGCAGGGTGTTTTCAGGTGAAAGTGGCCACAGGCCCTCAGATCGCTTCTGTATACCCCATCCCTTCTCGAGAAGATGGCAGGATTATCTCCTGGTCTAAGCGAGGAGGCAGCTCTAGAGAAGTGGGACTTTGTGTTAAGGTTTTGGGGCATCGTGAGCTCTGTGTTTTGACATGAGACATTCTATTCTGGCATCCTCATTGCAGCTTTAAAAATCCTGAACGTTCTGTGAAGTTCTTTCGGCTACCATGTCTTCTTAAAGAAATCTTACAAATTGTGGTGCTGACCTTTTTTCTTTTTCTTTTTTTTTGGTTGGGGGAGATCTCATCCAGGCTGGAGTGCAGTGGTGCAATCATGGCTCACTGTAGCCTCGGCCTCCTGGGTTCAGATGATCCTTCTACCTCAGCCTCCTGAGTAACTGGAACTACAGGTGCATGCCACCACACCCAACTAATTTTTTTTTTAATTATTTTGTGAAGGCAAGTTCTCAATATGTTGTCCAGGCTGGGGAACTTCTGGGCTCAAACAGTCCTCTCACCTTGGCCTCCCAGAGTGCTGGGATTATAGGTGTGAGCCACAACACCCAGCATTTTCTTTTTTTTTTTTTTTTTTGAGTTGGAGTCTCATTCTGTTTCCCAGACTGGAGGGCAGTGGGCGCTCCTGGCCACTGCAGCCTCGACCTGCTGGATTCCGGCGATCCTTCCACCTCAGCCTTCCAAGTAGCCGGAACTACAGGCGCGCGCTACCACCTCCAGCTAATTTTTTGATTTATTGTAGAGATGAGGTCTCGTCAAGTTGTCCAGGCAGGTCTCGAGCCCACGGGTTCAGGCAGTCCACTCACCTCAGCCTCCCAAAGTGCGGGATTACAGGCTGAGCCACCGAGCCCGGCTTATTTTCTTTTCTTTTTTTTTTTTTTGAGGGCCACAGCCCTGGGAAAATGAGAAAGCAGGATTTATTGAGAAGACAGAAAAGCTCCAAGAGCAGGAGGGGACCCAAGGGCGTTGCCCCAGCGTTTTCTTTTGAGTTTACTAAGGTGGTTGCATCGTCCCCTGTTTATCATGAAAATCAGCAGTGAGTGAATAGTGGAAGAATTTGGTTTTTTGTTTTTTTTAATGCTACAGTTTTAAGTTGTTCTGGAGAAACACCCAAACATGTATAATATTCTGTGTAACAGACTTAAATTGCCAAAAAGATATTCGAAAGCATTTTTCAAATGTTAGTTTCTAGAAGTTGATTTTTTTTTTTTTGAGACAAGGGTCTTGCTTTGTTTCCCAGGCTAATCTTGAACTCCTGGCTTCAAGGAATACTCCTGGCTCAGCCTCTCAAAATGCTGAGAATACAGGCATGAATCACCACACAACACCAAGCCTAGAAGTTGATTTTTAAAGAAAGTTTAGCATAGAAATCTACTTTAAATAAGTTTATACCAAGAATTTCTAGTATTAAATGACTGTAAAACTCTCATCTGGATTATAATTTTCTGAATCTTCTCACAGGATTTATATTATTGAACTAAGGGTGAATTGAGTAAGATCTTTACCCCTTTGGAGTTTACAACCTAAATATTAATAGATAGGATCTAAAACTAAATGGCACTGTATGTATGGTATATGATTGCTATATAAGATAGAGGATACCCGTTAAATTTGTATTTCAGATAGACAATAATTTTTTGTGTAGGTATTTTCCTTACAGAGTTTGGGATATATTTGTTATATAGTTATTTGTTTTGGGTTTTTTTTTTTTTTTTGAGCTGGAGTCTCACTCGGTCGCCCAGACTGGAATGCAGTGGCCGTTCCTGGCCACCGCAGCCTCGCCTGCTGGGCTCCAGCAATCCTTCCGCCTCAGCCTTCCGAGTAGCCGGAATTACAGGCACGCGCTACCACGCCCGGCTGATTTTTTGATTTATTGTAGAGCTGAGGTCTCGCTGCCCAGGCGGGTCTCGAACCCGCGGGCTCAGGCAGTCCACTCACCTCAGCCTCCCAAAGGCACAGGATTACAGGCTGAGCCACCGAGCCCGGCCAGTTATTTGTTATTTATCCGAAGTTCAAATTTAACTGAGTATCATGTATTTATACTCGCTAAGTATTTTATCTCAAGGTAGTTAGGAGTTTACAATAGTGTAATAAGGGGAAGGTCATGAGAATGGGATGCACACCATGCTCTGTGCCCAGCTAGAAATACATTCTCTAGGACTGACCATCCCACAGAGCTCCTAAGGCTGTCCTTTTTAGAGTAGTTGGGACAGTAGGAAGCCAGTCACAGAGCCATCACTGGAGACTTAGACAAACTGCCATGCGGAGCCTGGGGAGGGAAGGAAGCTGGGAGTCAGGGGAAGTCATGAAGCCTTGGGCAAGGGTCCCTCTGAGGCTGCACTGACTGGTTGCCAGAGATTGCCCTATAGAGATGACATTGACATTTCTTCCTGGTGTCAGGCATCGAGTCCTAGAATTGAGGGGTAGCAAGTCAGGAGTGCCTGTCCAGGGAAGTCTCACTTAAGGGGAACCAGGATTTCTAGATTCGTAAAGTACGTGCTGCCTTTTCAGGCCGTTATTGTCTTCCCATTGAAATAGTTTAGGCCTGACAGAGTGAAGTAGCCATTCGAACAAAGACAGCAATTCAGGAAGGGAAATGTGTCTTCAAGAGAAGATACCCCTCACAGAGGTCTCTTACTACCCTTTTGGGGTGATACCTGCTTGTCGCCTGCGGAGAGTTGGTGGAGAAGTGAGTCTTTCTGTTCCCGTTTTTCAGAAAGCAGGTGGTCTGGATCTGATCATTGGCTTGGCTCTTCTTCAACCCTCCTCCCTCTCCCTGCCGTCATCCAGTCTCCACCAACCCATCCTTCTCCACATGAGAGTTCTGTCCTTAGTGGATACTGTATACATTTTCCCCAGAGAAGGCCATTTACTTTGATGTTTCTATTCCCAGCAAACTGATGGTCTTAGGGAACTGAAGAAACCAGTGTTTCATTTCAAGAGTTGTGCTTGTCTTTGCTCATGCCTGAAATACATTCCCACTTGTGAATCCAGTCGTGATTGCCTGGCTTTTGAATGCCAAAATGTCAGTGTTGGCTTAAAATTTGGTAGCATCTTAAACCAAGCAAGTCAGTGGCAGTTTTGTCTAAGATGAGATGGAGTGAGATGGAATGTATATAAATATAAACCTGTTCTGCCTCTTCTCCCTTTGTAGTTACTGAAAATCTTCTTAGACGTGCCTGATTTGGACCAGTCCCTGACGTCCTACCATATTACATTCTTGGTAGAAAAGCCAGGTGCTAGTCTTCATGACGGTCCTCGGAGGGCAGTGTACTCCAAGCCAGGGTTAGTTCTTTAAAGCCGCCCCACGATCAGGGGGCACGTGGCTGGCTGGTCCTCTACATGAAGGCAAACGTGCCTCCCTGAGTTCTCACATATCCAGCTGCAGAAGATTGGGAAGTGACTTGAAGTAGGGGAGAACATGGCTGCAGACCAGAATGCTTTTAGCCATTGGAGACTCAGTGATGACAGAGTTGTGCTTGCTGCATGCATAGACGCGGTGTGAAGGCTAGTGTTGCTGGGCTTCACCATCTGGCTTCCAGGATGGTCCCAGTGTCACCTCTGCTAAACCCTGTTGTGTTGAGTACTGGGCCATGTCCAGTGCTGTGTTAGAACATTTTCCATTCATCAAGCGTTATGGCTGGCGGGATCCTGAGAAGTCATCTGATCAACTCCCTCTCCCCACAGGTCCCGGTGGGCAGCTCCGCTTTTGTCGGTCACTTGGACCCCTGGCTCCCTAGGTGTCTTGCGAGATGCTTCCTCCAAAGCATTGAAAAAACACTTAAGAGTATAAAAATTAAACACTGACCTGCAACAACCCTGCAAACTAAGGGGTTACGCAGGGGAGAAGGACATCTCTTTTGTTAAGTTTTTTGTTATTGTTGTTGTTGTTGTTGTTGTTTTTTAGTTGGAGTCTTACTCTGTCGCCCAGACTGGAGTGCAGTGGCTGCTCCCGGCCA